CCCCCACCTTCATTAGTCAGTGGATGTACACATACACACATATTCCAACAAAGTCGATGGAGCACGCCAGCTGAGTGGGGTCCCCTTGCTCCACCCTATTGGGGTGGTACGTAGCGCGGGGATACGTCCACAGGCCTGCCTCCCGTCTCAGATATCTGTGTACACAACTACTGTAGGAGCCTTATTCAGCAAAATGCACAAGAAACGTGTTGAGGGAAAAGAATGAATGGGCCAGAGGGCCGCGTAGTAGCTAGCTATCTACGCCCCGGTGTCAGTAGCAGTGGATGTGGCAGGGCTGGCTGGGCTGCCGTTGATGCGTGAGAAGAAGTTGCTGAGCTGCCCCACCACCCGCGACGCCGTCTTGGAGGCCTTGTCAGGGTCGAGCTTCTGGATCCAATCCTGACCCCTCTTGGCAACATTGACCGCCAGGTCGCCCACCTTCTCTGCAACACACACACACATACACACACACACACCATGACAGCACTCTTGATATGACGGCTGCTCGGCTGTCTTGTCTCGGCTGACCGGATGTTTCTTCGACGTCCATTTTTTCGAGCCACTGCTTGCCCTTGTCGACGGCGCTGTTCATCCACTCGTTGGTGTTCTTCTTAAGTTTGTCGGTGTCGAGCTCGGCGAGCCAGGACCGGCCGCCCTCCACCACACGGTCCACCACGCTGGACACCGTCTTGGTCACCTGCGCGTCGGTCGCGCCACTCAGAAAAGTCCGACCCTCTTCAACAGCACCTGAAAGCAGCGAGGGAGAAAGGCGCAACGGCACATATGCGCGTGTCTCTGGGCGAGGCGAGGCGAGGGTGTGTGTACGTTTGGCGAGGTCCGATGCGGCCGCCTCGGCCTCCTCGGGGGTGGCGTTCTCGATCACATCGCGGCCCTTGGCGACAACGCCATTGAGCATGCTGGACAGCATCTCCGTCTGGACGGCTGCAATACATACATTGGGACACACACACACAAAAAACATAGTCAGCAGTCTGCTGCCGTCTTGGCGTGTGTGTGTTTGTGTGTGTGTGTGTCATCTGCCGTACGTCCGAAGTCGATTTTGCCGATGCCGACGATCTGAGAGATGACGCCTTCATCGATCTGCTGCCCCGTGTGCACGGCCTTCTCCACTATCGCCTCGAGCGTCGCCTGAGTCTCATTCGGATTGAGCTCCTTCTGCACACAAACCAAGCCTTTTCGCCTCGTGGGTTTGATCCCATCCGTGTGTAGGTGCGTACGTACCAGCAGCTCCTTGCTCTGTTCCGTGGCGCCTCCGACGAGCGAGCCCACGGTCTCCTGGACCTTCTCGATGTCGACATTGTCGAGGATGTCACGTGAGCGATCCCGGGCGCTCTTGGCCCACTTGGTGACGGCGACCTTGGCCTCGTCGACATCCACATTGTCCAAGAAGTCCTTGGAGGCCGGTACGACCCTGTCAATGGTCGAACCGAGCTTCTCCATCGCAGCCTCGCTGTCGAAATTCGTCACCCAGTTGCCTGCATTGAGGACAGTGAGTGGAGTCAGTGTGTATGTCTAATTCGTTGGCCCGCCAGCCCAACTCACTTGCCGACTGCGTGGCTTCTTTGAAGAGGTTCTTGGCGGTCTCCTTCGCCTCGTCTTCGTCCAGATTAGCGAGGTACTCCTGCGCGTTGGTCGTCGCGTTTTTGACGAAATTGGCCACACGAGCACTCGCCTGCAAGCGACACATAGGCAACACACACAAAATAAAGGGATCTAGGAAGATGCCCATTGCTCCCGTTTCGCTTCGCTCACCTCATCGGGGTCCATCTCCCTGAACTGCGTTGCAGTTTTCTGGAGGAAGTCCAGGATGGGCGTGTTGGAGGTCTCATCGAGAGCCAGCTGCGGCTTAGACTGAGCGGACGAAACAGCCACATGCGCACTCAGGCACACCAACAGCAGCATCGCCATCCTCATGGTGCCTGACATCGTCCCCGTGACGTCCGTGTCGGTGTTATGAGCGGCCGTTCGCCTCGTCGTTTGTCGTACACTGTAGTCGGGTTACAGGGTTTCGGGGGCAAACGTTTTTCTCGACTTTCGGGGGCACGCCCACCCGTTCGGACTCCTTCGAGAATCGAAAGAGGCGGTTTCCACTCCCCCTCCGAAAAGGACGACAGGATCCAGTCCACGACCGGTCCTGCCCCAGCTCTTCTCTTCCTTCTGCCCTTCAAGTGAAGCACGGTTGTTTGTACCCTTTGCGTCCAGGGGGGGGGTAGTGTCCGCTCCCTGCTGCACTCTGTGTTCGCCTCTCCTATCCGCTGCCCCAAAGGTGCGCAGAGGCCCACTCGTCCATCTCTACCGCGTGTTCTCTTGTCCCGCGTCCATGGTTGATGCACCAATCCCGTGTGTGTCCAGGTTGGCCCGTTGCTTCAGCGATTTGTCTTGGTTGACGACATAGAATCATGAGTGACTCGGCAGTCAAGGTGGCCGTGAGGGTGCGGCCCTTCAACCAGAGAGAACGGGGCCTCGATGCCGTCTGCTGCATAGCCATGGTATACGGAGAGACGGTCGCTCACTGGAGCTGGCTTGCCTGCCCCACCGTGGATGTGTTGTGTTGGGTAGGCTGGACCAACGACGACAATTGATGATGTCGAGGGTGGGTCGGGAGAGAAGAAATTCACATTCGACTACTCATTCTGGTCGCATGATGGGTAAGTAGCGGAGCTGCACACTCACGTGCCTTCGCATACGGTGCAGACTGTCATGTCTGCAGGTTCTCCGTGAACGGCGAGGGGCTGTTGATCCCTGAGGATGGGAACAGCCTTTATGTCGACCAGAAGAAAGTCTTCGACTGCCTGGGCGTGGAAGTGCTGGTCAGTCGGCCAGACAGCCAGCAAGCTTTGGGCATCCATGCAGCAAGATCAAGACAGCTGGTCTGTCTGTCTGTCTGTCCTGTCTGTCTGTCCTGTCTGTTTCTGCTTCTTCCTCAGAACAACGCGTGGACAGGGTATCACTGCTGCCTGTTCGCGTATGGGCAGACGGGCGCGGGCAAGTCGTACTCTATGGTGGGCTTCGGCCCCAACAAGGGCATCGTACCCATCACGTGTGAGGACATCTTCCGCCGCATCGGGGAGAACCAAGATCCAGCGAAACACTTCGAAGTGACGGTAAGCAACAGCTGAATGAGCTTGACTAACAAGAGCCGCTCGCTCAACCAACCCGTGAGTGTGCAGATCGGTATGCTGGAGATCTACAATGAGAAGATTCAGGATCTCCTCATCCACCCCAGCCAGCGAACAAAGGTGGGATCAATGAGAACCCACCAGGTCCCTGTCTCTGCCATGTGGTGCTGTGTGCTGTTGTGCTCTGTCAGGGTGGTCTGGAGGTTCGCGAGTCGAAGCAGCTGGGCATCTATGTGCAGGACCTGACCAAGCGGGCTGTCAACAGCTACGAGGCTATCGAAGACGTTGTCGACGAGGGGACGGCGAACCGCACCATCGGCTCCACCCTCATGAACGCGTCGGTCTCCACACACTAATGGAAAGATGCCATTGATTGTCTGCGCTTACGTGTGCCTGTCGGTCGGCTTGCCTTCTGTGATAGGACGAGCTCCCGTGCACACACGGTGCTCATCATCGAATTCACACAAGTATGGATGGACGATCTGTATGTGAGACATGACAATACACCTGTCTGCGTGCGATGTGTGTGGTAGGTGACGACGTATATGGGCAAGGAGGGCCGCAAACTCTCAGTCATCAATCTGGTCGATCTCGCCGGCTCCGAGAAGGCCGAGCAAACAGGTGTGCACACATTCCCGTGAACATACAGAAAAGGGATTACACACTCTGTCGACGGACGGCCTCCAGGTGCTAGTGGCGATCGTTTGAAGGAGGGCTGTGCCATCAACAAGTCGCTGTCTGCATTGGGAAATGTCATATCGGCACTTGCAGACAAGGCCTCAGGTGCGTGGACCGGCGACAGACGTACAGGCAAACATTTTCCTGTGGACGCTCAGGGAAGTTGAAGAAGGGCCAGGTCATCCCCTACCGAGACTCAAAGCTCACCCGGCTGCTGCAGGTGGGAGAAATCCAGTCATCACACTCACACGCGCGTCACTCCTCTGCTGAGTGCTTCAGAATGCCCTTGGAGGCTCATCGAAGACCATCATGATATGCGCCCTGTCGCCCGCTTCGTCCAACTACGAAGAGACACTGTCGACACTGCGATACGCCGGCAAGCACTGAGGACAACACACGCGAGCGTGATTTGACTGTGACCTGCATGACTGTCTCCACCTGATGCTTGTTTCAGATCGCGCCAAGAAGATCAAGAATCACGCCGAGATCAACGAAGACCCCACGGTGAGATGGAAAGGGAAACATCTCGCCTGAAAATGTGATCCATGCATATGTGAGTGCAGGAGAAGTTGCTGAATCAGCTCAAGGAGGAGAACGAGCGACTCAAGGCGCTGCTGGAAGGTACATACACAGAGCACAGCGGTGCATTCACCTCGTGTTGGCTGATGTGTCTGTGTGTGCAGGCAAGGGAGTGGCGACAGGGGGAGGTCCGAACGGCGCCGGCGGCAGTGCTGTGAGTGAGGCGGAGCGGATGCGAATCGAGGAGGATCACAAGAAGGAGATCGCCGCAATGGAGAAGGCACTGGTATGTATGTGTGCAAGTGTCGATCATTAACCGTACCCCGGTCGTCTGTCATGTGTGTGTGTTTGTGTGTGTGTGTGTGTCTCGCAGGAGGGGATGCAGAAGGGGTGGGAGCAGCGCCTGAAGGAAGCAGAGGAGGCGGCAGCGAAGCAGGCCGCCGAAAAAGCAAAGGTCGTCCATTCAGACACGCCTCACGAAGGGAGTGAGACGTGGGATGTGTGTCTCTCGGCTGCCTGGCAGGGACCTGACTGGAAGAAGATTCCCCACCTGACCAACATCAACGAGGATGAGGTGCTGACGGGCAAACTCAACTACGCCCTCACAGAAAACGCCGAGATTTGGATCGGCAAGAAGAGCAGCGACTTCACACCTGACCTGCCACTCTCCGGCATCGGCATTCACTCGTGACAAAAGACAGACGCCACACAGGAGGCACGCACATGTTGCTTGTCGTCATGTGCACGTGTGTGTGTGTGCGCGCCAGTCGCCACGCTGTGATCGCGAATCGTGCTGCCAACATCATAGTCATCAAGGGCATGGAGGGGGCGGACTACACCTTCATCAACGGAGACAAAACCATGCAGTACACACATGACACACACATGACACACACATGACACACACACATACACCTCTCTACCTCTCGACCTTTCCGATCCTTCCTCTTGGTACCTCACAGGAACCGTGAGGTGACTCTGCAACATGGCGACCGTGTCGTATTTGGTTCCCAGTATGCGTTCCTGGTGGTCATCCCATCCATCGGCTCGCAAGGCGACCTGATACAGGTCAGCACACAAAGACACAGTACATCTACCTTTACCTGTTTGCATGTGCCACCACAGGCGCATGACTTCGAGAGCATCATGAAGGAAGTTGCGGAGAAGCAGGGTGACCTGAAGAGCATCCTCAAGTCCCCCGAGGAGCTGGCGGCCGAGAAGAAGCGTCACGAGGAGTACGAGGCCAAGATGAAGGAGGTCGAGGAGCTCAAGCGCAAGGCAGAGGAGGAGGCGCAGGCGGCACTCAGGGCAAAGGAGGAAGAGTTCCAGAAGAAAATGAAGGTCAGCCGCTGCACGTCGTTGCCACACAAGATCGACCGGTGTGTATGTATGTATGTATGTGTGTGTCTCACGTGTGCAGGAGATGGAGGAGCGGTTGAACCAGGAGGAGAAGCGCAAGGCAGAGGAGGAGTTCAAGAAGCAACAGGAACTAATTGCCAAGGAGGTAGGTGGGTGGGTGGATGGTCGAGCGATCGCATGTATGTATGTTTGTCTGTCTGTCAGGCTGAGAGGGCTCGTCAGGAGGCAGAGAAGAAAGAGAAGGAGGTGCAGGAACAGAAGCGCGTTGAGCACGAGCAGCAAGTGGAGCAAAGCGCACTCGACGAGAAACTCGCACGAATTCTCCCACTCGTCAAGGTGACTGACACCTACACGCCTGACTGACACACAAATCTCCGCACGTGTGTTTCTTTCTGTACGTGATGTGCTCTTGACACCAACACCACTCCCTCTCACGTGACGTGCAGGAGGCGAACATGATAGCTCAGGAGATGGGCAAGCCGTACCACCTGAGCACCAAGCTGCAGGTGCATATCACACACAAGAGAAGAAAGAAGACCGAACTGCTCGTATCGGTCTCACTCGAGGTGAGGGGGGAGACGTGGTGAATGAATGCAAAGCTAACAACATTCAGCTGTTGTGTCTCTCTCTACATGACATGCAGGGCAACCACGTCTACGACTGGCACAGCAGCATCCTAGAGAATAGGATTTTCCTCATGCGAGAAATGTTCGAGAACTGGGCCGATGCAGGTCAGCCAGACAGTGAGTGAGTGAGTGAGTGGACCTCCTCTATTGTGAGTGAGGGAATGGATGGTGCGTCAACTCATTCCTGCATGCAATGCAGACGACAAGTTTGAGTTCCTGACGTCGATTCCCGATGAGGAAGACCCCTTTTGGGATCCCGTGCAGTCCGACCGCCTGATTGGCAAGGCGGAGCTGTTCCTCAAGCCACTCTCATACCAGATCGATGCCGATGCACAGGCCAAGCTACTCAGCAGCGAGGGCAAGCAGTGCGGCATTCTCCATGTCGCCATCGAACCCGTCAGCCCGGTCAGTCGAGAGCGAATGCACAAGGACAAGGCTGTCTGTATGTGTCTGGTGGTTTCGCATACAGGACGGAGGTCCGATAGCCGACGAGGACCTTGTTGAGAACCCCACCGACCTCATCGGCACACGAATGGATCTGCTCGTCAAGGTAACTCACGAAGGGATATGTAGACGGACATCAAGTAAGTAGCATCACTGTCTTGTCAGATTCACAAGGCGGAGAAACTGCCCGAGGCGCTGGCCAATGACGTCAGGGTCCAGTACACCTACTTCCTGGACGATGAACCACGGAAGGTGCCCGCGGTGGAGGGGCACAACAGATCGCCCGCGTTCAACTACTCGGAGGTCATCACACAGGTAAACACTCCTCACATCGGGAGACATATACATCGGTACCGCCTATGTTCTGTTGCAGGATCCGGTGACAGAGAAGTTCCTCGACTACCTGAACAATGACGCACTCAGCTTTGAGGTCTATGGAGTGGTGAGTGAGCACAGCGGCACCCAGCGCAGTGTGTGTCTCTGCCCTATTGTTTGTGTCTCAGGACAAGGGTGCCGAGATAGCTGGTGCGATGAGGTCCCAGGCGCCGTCCGCACAAGGGTCTCGCCAGGCGTCGAGGCAGGCGTCGAGGCAGGCCTCGATGCAGCACACACCCGCCGCCCGCACACCAAGGAACGCCGGGGCCATGACGCCAATGATCGAGGAGAAACCTGAGGAGGTCGACGCCGACTATTTGGCCGATTTCGGCAACCGCATGGCCAAGCCCCCGGCCGCAAAGGCAAAGCCCAAGCCGGCCCCTGCGCCCGCGCCTGCGTCCATTCCCACATCGCCATCTGTGCCGGCCAAACCGACGGCCGCCGCAGAACAACTCGTTCCGCCAGGTGAAGGGAGAAGCGACACCATCGCAAGACACGACATCACTGCTTGCTTGGTTATGACGTGTGTCCACATGGATGTATGCCAGCGGCTCCTGTGGTGTCGGCGAGTGACCCCAGCACTCCCGCCGTGCCCCAGGTGTCGCCTTCACCTGTCCCGAGCCAGTCTCCTTCCGAGCCGGCCATTCCGACCAAGAAGCCCGCTGCCGCACCAAAACCCGCCGCCAAGGGCAAGGCCAAACAGGACGCAAACGCGGGGGGCAAGGGTAGCAAGGCGTGCACCATCCAGTGACAATTGAGACAGGCACGGACACAACCACGATTTTTGCCTGCTCTACGCCCCCCTCCCCCCCGTGAGTTTGTTGCTGCTTCGAAGGGGAGAGAATCGTGTCATGTGTGGCTGATTTGTTTGTTGCTCACCTGCTCCTGTCTTGCCGCCTCGCTGGTGTGCATGTGCTTGTCGTGTGCTGGTGTGTGATGCCCTGCTGACGTGATTGACGAAGTGCGGCTGAATGGCGTGGGGTGGGCGAGAGAGCGCTGGGAATGGTTGTCATCTGCCTGTGCGTACGCAAAAAGGTCCCGAAGAGGGGAAGGAGCATTGGATAAGTGAAGAGGGACTGCATGCATCGTTTGCCTGCCTGCCTGCCTGCCTGCCTGCTGGGACACATGTACTGAGGTCTCATGTGTCCCTAACGCCTGCGTGCTTTCACTCTCGGGCCACTCATCACGCCTACAAACAGCACTGTCTCTCATCCAGCCACCTCTCGCACACTCAACCCGATACATACAAATACATACAAGAAACTGATCTCTCACTCACGGAACGGCCAACAACCTCTCATGTCATGCGTCGCAAAAAAGACCCCCACCAGGTCAGTTCAGGTCATATGCATGTCGCCCGTCCCTGCCAGCTGCTTGCCCTCCCCCTCCTCATCGACTCTCCGCCTCTTCTTGACGGTGACATTCTCCATCACCACGCGGCCTATGTCACACATGGGCGACTGCTTGATGATCGACATGATGCCCTCCGCCACATCGTCGGCGGTCAAGAAATTGCTGGTGTCGGCCTCCCCCTTCTCCCAGCCCCCTCTCTGCTTGCTCTCCCACCATGGCGTCGCGACCGCAGCTGACTCAATGACACACACACACACGCACACGAGACTTCTGTAAGAGCATACACAAATGTGTAAGTCAAGCCAAGCTACCAGGGTTGCAGACGCCCAGCTTGACTCCGGTGCCGGCGAAGTCCTTCCTCGTGGCGTCGACAAGCCCTTCAACGGCATATTTGGATGCGCAGTAGACGGCGGCCTTCTCGCACGTGCGCAGGCCGAGCACACTCGACGTCACGACGATCTGCCCAGAGCCGCGCGCCTTCATCAGAGGCAGCAGCTTGCGCATGAACAGGAACACACCTGCCAATTATAAGGCCATCTATTGGTCACGTGTGTGTGTCGCGGTATTTCTGTGAATGATTTCACTCACCTTTGACGTTGGTCTTCATAATGAGGTCAAAGTCCTCGACGGTCGTCTCGTCGACTGCGCCCGGTCGGCCGACGCCGGCGTTGAGTACGGCCACGTCAGGGGCCCTCCCCTTGAAGTGACTCACACACGCATCCACCAGCCTCTCGCAGTCCCGCTCGTCGCCAACATCACCAATGCCGTGCTGCACCAAACTCTTGTCGTGCTGGAACTCCATGTACGTGTTGCGGCAGTCCTGCACACACACACACACATACGCAGCAGTCAAATGGTGGATCCTGCTCGAGATCATGGATCAATCAACGCGAACCTCCTCGACATTGTGCAGTGAGTCGACGGAGCGTCCGATGAGATAGAGATGATGCCCTTCCTCAGCCAGCTTCAGCGCCACTGCCGTGCCGATACCGGAGGAGGCTCCAGTGATGAGTGCCAGCTTCGGGGAATCATCACCGAAATCCATCCCGGCTGTTGTGCGTAGGTCGCTGCTGCCCTCCCCTTCTCGAAGCTTGCTCGCAGACCTCCCTGTGGAAGTTTCACGGAAGATCTGACCCTATCGCTGACTGGCGAGTGGCGCAGGCAAGCTTGGCGAAGGGATTACGATGGCCCAGATCATAACCAATATCTTTCCAGGCCGATACATCCAGGGGCCTGATGTAGGCAAGAACAATCTTGAAGGGACAGATGTATGTGTGTATGTGTGTATGTGTGTGCATTGCGCATGAATGCAGGCCTTCACCACGACCCTTCCTGAGGAGATCAAGCGGTTCGGGCCAAGATCCATGGTGAGGAGAAACAAAGGCAGCCCTTCGTTCTTCTATGTACATTGAATTTCACAAATGCCCATCACGCAACGGCACTCCCTTCTTGCCTGCAGGCGCTTCTGTGCCCATACTCATACAAGGCGATTCTGCCGTCGATAGAGGGACCTCTGACGAGCAGCCTGGATGAGTTTGATGCCGTTGCGCATCGGGGCGAGTGCAGCGATGATGAGATTGCTCGGGTGATGGGCCTGGCCAGGGAGTTTCAACCCGACGTCCTCTTGGCCATGGGAGGCGGCAAAGCCCTGGTATGTGTAAGCTTGACGTGCTCTCATGCAAACCGACGGATTTGTGATGGTTTGTCAGTCCTCGATCTGTGTCTTTGTCTGTGTCTGTGTGTGTGTGGTCAGGATACGGTCAAGTGTGTGGCTGACAAGATGGGCCTGCCGTGCATTATCGTGAGTGCGCCACACATAACATAGACACAAGAGCATCCATTGGTGCGTGGGAGTTGATTCCTTGGTCCCTTCCTTGGTCAGTGCCCGACGATGGCCAGCACGGACGCCCCCTGCAGCGGGCTCTCCGTCGTCTACACAAACGACGGCACATTCAAGCGCGTGCAGTTCCATCGGAAGAGCCCCGGTATGTCTGTCTGCCATGTGGACACAACAGACACACAAAACCACCAAATGAGTGGCCGCCTGTTTGCCGGCTGTCTGGCAGATGTGGTGGTCGTGGACAGCAGAGTCGTGTCGAGGTCACCCGTGCGCATGATCGTCGCCGGCATGGGCGATGCACTCGCAACGTACGCACCACACACACACCCCAGTGGTGGAGGCAGGAAGGCATCCATCCATCCATCCATGTGTCATTGATGTGTGTAGGTGGTTTGAGGCGGAGAGCTGCCGGGCGAAGCAGGCGCCCAACGCTACCAACTCGGGCCGGCCGGGCAGCTGGGCCGCGTATTCACTCGCCCGCCTCTGCTATGAGACCGTCCTCGAGTATGGCATGTAAGTGTCTGTCCAACACCCCACCACACCCTGCACCAACGCACACACATACATACGTTTGTTTGTGTTGATGGCTGAGGGGTGGTGTGTGCGTGCTTCATTCATTCAGTGAGGCCAAGAGTGCGGTGGAGTCGCAGAGTGTCAACTACGCCTTGGAGCGGATCATCGAGGCCAATACCCTGCTGAGTGGCTTGGGCTTCGAATGCTGCGGCTGCGCGGCGGCCCACGCCATCCACGACGGACTGACACTGCTGCCGGAGGCGCACTCGTATGTGCACGGTGAGAAGGTCACCATCGGCCTGCTGGCTTCGCTGTTCCTCACACACAAGGACAAGAAGACCGTCGAGGAGATCTACTCCTTCTGTGAGGCTGTGGGACTGCCTACTGTGCTCGGTGAGCACACACACAAGCGCACCGATGGCAGGCACGATATGCCTTCAAGGCTGTCTGTCGCTCCCTCTCTCTCCTTCACCGTGCTGCACACATTCAGGTGATATTGGCCTGGGTGAGGTGACTGAGGAGGAGTTGTTGGTGGTGGCCAGTCGGTGCCTGGAGCCCTCCTCGCCCATGCTCAACGAGCCACACACCCACATCGACGCAGACGCTATCGTCAAGGTGCGTTTGTGTGGATGTGTGTGTGGGGACAGACAGACAGACAGACAGACTGACAGAATGACGGGCAGATGGACGGGCTCCCATCTTTGTGTGTGGTGTGTGGTGTGTGGTCTTGTTGCATGGGCCCACAGGCGATGCGCGAGGCCGATCGCTATGGCAGGGCTCGCAGAGACGGGCAGCTGAAAGGAGGACCCGACGACTCTGCAAACTGAGCAGCCGGTCTGTAGTCAGGCTTTTGTGGAAGTCAGACCTGGATGTAGGTGTAGGTGTGGGTGCTTATTTTTGCTTGAATACAGCTGTCTGTCTGTCTGTCTGCCTTGTCTGTCTCTCTGTCGGTGAGACCTCCCTTTGTGTCCTACTCTTTTTACCCTTCTCTCCTCTCGTCTAGTACGTGTGCGTTCACTACTCTGGCGTGTTGGCGGTGGTGGTTGAGAGCTGAATTGAGCTGGCTGGTTGTGTGTGGTGTGTGGCATCTCGGTCTATCCGGCTGGTTTGTGTGCCTCTGTCTGTCCGGCTGTCTGTCTGTCTGTCTGTCTGCCGGTGTGCGTGTGTGGAGAGGGGAGAGAGGTCTTGTTGTCGCGGATGGCGAGGGCTGCGTGCTGGTATTTGTTTGTTCGTCATCCACACACACATCCATGCCTTGGGCTGCACCTTTGTGGGCCCATCGATTCGATGAATGTGGTGAGATATGGTGAGTGACTGTGTGCATGTCAATCGACGCGCGGATGGGCTGACGTTTTGATGCGTGCTGCATGCCATGCATGTGCCATGGATGCATCGATGGCCACGCATGTGCTGGCTCGTGTTTGGCAGGTCACACATGCGCCTCTCGTGCTTGCGCATGTTTTTGCCGATGTGTAGCTGAGATAAGGGCTGTGTGTGTGTGTGTGAGAGAGAGACATCGCTGTGTGTGCAGGTGCAGGTGTGTGTATGGCTCCTGCACAGCTAGACGAGGAAGAAATTTGTTGCTTGCGGTGGGCGACGAAATGAGTGTATGTCTGCCTGTCGGGATCGGGATGCGCTGTGTGCCTTCGTGGCTCCTGCAGTTCTCCTTTTTGGTCCACCTCTCCTCTCCTCCCCTCTCGTCTCGTGTATGTGTGCCTACCCTACGGCGTCGTGCCGGTGTGTGTGTGTGTGTGTGTGTGTGGCCTCTCGGCCTGTCTGTCTGCCTGCCTGGTCTGTCTGTCTGTCTGTCTGACTGGCTGGCTGGCTGGCTGGCGGTGTGTGTGCGTGGAGAGAGGAGAGAGCGCTGTCTCCTCCTTGTTTGTTGCGGACGAAGAGGGCTGCGTGTAGGCGTGATCACCCACCACACCAAATCTTGCTGGCTGGACGTGTGTATGTGTGTGTGTGTGTGTGACATGGACGTCTCCTTCTCACTCGCGGTAGCTGTTGTGCGGTGCACGTGTGTGTGGGGTGGGGTGAGTGGGCAGGTCAGGTGTTGATTATAGCATGTCGCGTCGCCACGGCAGAAAGGTCATGGCATGCAGATAGATGCGTCTTTATGGACACAGACAGCTCCACTAGGCAGACGAACAGACGACACAGATCAAGGGCGAGAGAGACGAAAGGTCGTCCCATCCTGGATGCATCGACCCACAAACCGACCTATCCATGGCTGGCCTCCACCCAGAACGATAGATTTGCCGTGTAGACTGGCGGCCACATGACACCCGAGCCGAAAAAAGCTAAACCGGCACAAAGGTCACGACCGCACGAGAAACTTGAAGAGCGAGAGAAGAGAGAACGCACCACCACCACACACACAAAAGACAGCAAGAGACAGACACATTTCACACACACACACACAATCTGTCTCTCTAAGCGACTGACACAGACAACACACACACTCAGGCCCTCCTGCACGTCAAGCGCCAGATGGCTACACACGCTCCCGGAACAGACAAAAACCTGGAGGACGCTTCGCACTTTGTCACGTTGTTTACACGGAGATACAAAAAAAGGCGATCTCAGCGCGGAACGAACCACGCTATGTGCACGTGGGGCCCTGACAGAACCTCTGTTGGTGCTGCGCGAAGAACCGTGACCTCCCAAGGGACACTATGCCATCTGACAGGTCACACACACCGCACCGCATCGCGCACACAGGCAGCACACGATTCAAACAGAGACTTGCTCCCGCCGCGCTGACTCCCTCACCAGATTCGTATATCGATCCCGTGTTGAATGACGAGTATACGTTGCCTCCGATGTTGCGCGGCCCGATGGGGTACAGCGGCTCAGGGATGGCCGTAGTCGCCAGCCGCCGCCGAGTCTGTTCTTCACGCGGGTCGGGGCCATTCACAATCTCGGCCACGGGGCAATACCCGTCGGGAGTGTCGGCGGCCTTGGCCTCGCCACAGCCCTCCGCCGGCTTTGGGCGGAACAGCAGGGCTCTCTCGCTGGTGACCTCGAGGTAGTCACCGCCGAAGAACGCGACTTTGATATTTTCTGAGGCCTTGGCCTTGGTGATCATCTCGACCTTGTAGAACCTCTGCAGCACCTCGCCGTTGCCCGCGAGCAGGTCGTCGATGTATATGCTGTCCACCTGATGGATGGATGGATGTGAAGCACACGAGGAGATGAACAACATGCACTCGCATGAGCGGCATGGGAGTGCCTGCCTGCCTGCCTGCGGCCGTGCACGTGTGCGTGTGAGTTAAGAGTACTCGTTCCAGGTCGGCCAGAGATTTGCTGGCCATTTCGAACGGTGACTGCACATAGATCTTCCGCTTCGTCCCTGCAGCCAGCCAGAACCAAAGAATGAGGCAGCATGTTTGATCCTCATGGCCGCCATCCCTCCCGTGGGCTGCCGTGTGGCGCTTACGGATGACGTTCCTGTCGCCGCGGGTGCTCAAGAGGATGCTGTTGTCGTCCGGCCTGAAGTCCTTGGCCATCTCCATAGCACCGAGAGTAACACCGAAGAGAATCGGAATGGTGACGGCATAGAGGATGGCCGCGGTGCAGACGGCCTTTTGAAGGCCCCTGCCCTTCTTCTTCTGTCGAAGTACCATGCGCGCCGCCTCCGCTACCTCGTCGACGCTGAACACACAGACAGACAGACACACAGACAGACACACAGACAGACGGACAGACAGCCAGATGGAATGATACATGTAAGATCTGCCTTTCCTCCCATCATTCATTCATTCTGCGTCACTCGCCTGAAAATGCCATCCCCATCTGTGTCCCATGACCGCAGCAGCCTCACAATCCGGTCGGGGTCTGACTCGTCGCCTGATGTCCTGACAGCCTCCCTCGCGAACGCAGCAGTCCTTTCAGTCCTTTCAGTCCTCTCTTTCTGCTTCGCCGCCAACATGGCGGCTCAAAAAAACGAGCCGTGCCAGGTTTGAGGGAGTGCAGGGTTTGTGGGGTAGGGGAGTGCACGGTTTGGGGGTAGGGTTCCGAGAGACTCTGCTGCCTAGGGTGCTGCCTGAAACGGCTGCTCAGACTTCACCGCCGGGTCTTCACGAATCTTTCTACAATCGTCTTCCAGCCCTTCCAGCCGTCGCCCCACCCCATTCCTCACTCTCCCATCGACAGATCTGCCCCTCTGTAACATCCGCCCCTCCCAGTCATGTCGACAGAGAAGCAGAACGCCAAGCAGAGAACCGTTGCGTTCGAGAATGCATCGACCACGTCCACGCCGGGCAACGACACGGAGCGCATTGTGCAGCTGCTCAAGGCCTGGGACACCAACCAGGATGGCATGTTCAGGTGAGTGAGGGGTGACTGACACAGTGATGCCTGGCGGGGAGATGGGGACAGGCAATGCAAGTACCTGCCTCTCTCTCCGTGTCTGTGTGTGTGTGTGTGCGGCTGATGCAGCATCGACGAGGTGACGGCTGCCGCCAAGCAGATGATGAGCGAGCGGAAGGAGAACAAGCGCCTCAAGTGGGTCATCTTCGGCGTCGTCATCCTCTACATGTATGTGGGTAGAGGCCCACCAGCACATCCACACACATTCATACACCGCACACCACACACCAAAAACGCCAAGACGAGAGAGAGAGAGAGAGAGAGAGAGAGACGGCTTGTGTGTGTGCGTGTGTGTGTGTGTGTGCGATCCCTTGTTCAGCGTGACGATAGTACTGCTGCTTGGCATCACCTTCGCGGCGGTGGAGATGGCCAAGGTGAGTGAGTCTAGTCGCTCAGTCGCATCACTCAGACACAGACAGGGAGAGACGTGGTTTGTTCACCTGCCACCACCCCGCCCTCCTTACTGCAGGACTTCAAGCCGGACGAAAACGGCCTGGTGATTGGCACCAAGGCCACAAAGAACGTCATCCGTAAGTGACTTACGACGGAGGGCATAGGGAGAGAAAATTGCATGCACACGGGCGAATGTGTGCGTATCTGTGTGTGCTGTCGTGGGCGTGCAGAAACGAAGGCGAAGACCGACGTGGAGGTGCGCTGCTCGTGATAGTCAGTCAGCCAACATGTCATGCACGTGTCGTCTGTCTCCCTTTCTCCGCGCTGTGCTGTTTCCATCTACCAGAGCCCCTTTGACTTCATCACACACTCGCTGGATGACCTCGAAAACGTAAGTCACACACGCTGCACCCACACCAGCACAGCACCATGTGTTGCATATGTGTTGGTCCACACGGCGTGCGTCTTTTGACGTGTGTGGTGTGTTGGTTCATCCATCCACATATGGCTGCAGCTGGACGGCCTCTACATCGACGACCTGCTGGCCAAGAACGGCGACGTCCTCGAGCGGTACTTCAAAGTGCGGGATGTCACCAAGAACAAGAGCCAGGGATCCGTCAAAGTCGTCTTCTTGAACGGTGAGTGAGTGGGAGGGGGATGGGGAGAGGGAGTGGCCTGCCCAGCGACAGAAGGAACGAGGTGTGTATATGCCTCTCTGCAGGAGAGTATCTGGAGATCGACAAGGAGAGAGCCGTACTGCTCCGCCCCAAGCCAGAGGGGGGATGCGGTGGCGAGGCCGACGCCGCCGACGCCCCCGAGGGGTACTGCGCAGTGGCCGAGATCCTCAACGGCCCCGACCCGCGTGACGCTGAGGAGCCCAAGCCCGAGGACCCCGCCAGACGCCAGCTCCAATCCCGTAAGACCAAGAAACACACACACACACATGGATGGATGGCTGAAGGTGCATGGAATACATTGCATGGCTGTGGATCTGCCTGCCCAGGTGTGAGCATTGTGGGTCCTGCTTACAACAGGGGGCCGCGCGGCATCGGCTCCAACCTCAACGTCAGTTCTCACTCACTCACAGACACAAGAGAGAGAGAGAGAGAGAGAGAGAGTGGGAGGGGAAAAGGACCGAACAAGCTGAAGTAAAGTGGTTGTGACTTGACTGTCCCGTCTCTCTCTTCGTGTGTTATGTGCTTCCAGTTCAACTCTGGAAAGGTCTACGACGACGGTAAGTAAGGCCAGGCCACACAGGGCGGGCAGGGAGTAGGGAAAGAGCGATCCTATAGGCACACCACACCGTCTGGCGTGTTGCTGACGTCTGTGGGTGTCAGATGGCATTGTCTCGCTGGGCAGGGCGAGGTTCTTCGGCCAGGGTCAGTTCAGAGGGTGCGACGGCGCCTCCTGCCAGTTCTAGGCAGGCAGGCAGGGCAGGCAGGCAGGCAGCACGTGCAGTACTTAGCGGGGGTTTTGGATGGATGGATGGATGGATAGATGCGTCATCTGATGCACGCCGTGGGATGTGGTTGGTTGCCTCACGCCACACCACACCACACCCTCCCCCTTGCTGCCCCTGCCGCCAGACAGATCCAGGTTTTTCGTCAGGCAGGGCTGGCCTTGTTGTTACGTGCCGTGAGGTGATGTGATGGGATGTCATCCGCGATTGATTTTGACGGCGTGGCAGGTGCAGTGCATGAGACCCGAAGTTCATGGCAGACTCCTTGTTTCGGACCCGGGGCGATCTGCAGCAGCCACGCCGTCGAAATCGGTGGGGGACAGTGTGTGTGATAGATGTGACAAGTGAGAGACTGAGAGAGCTGGGTGGCCATATGTGTGTTTTGAGTCAGGCAGGGCAGGAGGGGGCAAGAGTTGTCGTGTGTGTGTGTGTGTGTGTGCGTCTTGCGTGTCAAAGTGTGGCTAGCTGCGTGTTTGCCGAGACCGCACAAGGTGGTCTGTCTGGTCGTCGGGAGGTACGTACTGCGGGGGTTTTCTACAACTAACTCCGCCCATTTACATGACTTTACATGACATGCATGTCTTCCTTCTTTCCTTCCCTGCTGCTTTTTTCGCAGCACAGTGAGTGAGTGATTGGTGCGTGTTTCTCTCCCTCACTCCCGTGGCTTGGCTTGGCTTGCTCGTGTGGGCGTGGCGGCTCTTGCCGTGCTGTCTGTCTGGCCGGTTTATCGAACGAACGATGCGGTGTTCAGCTCACCGCGGATGGCTCCATGTGGGTAAATGCATGATGGATTGATGCGCCAATGCATGACAGTGAGTGTCTGCCTGCGTGGTTTTCTAGTGGTGGTCTGTCTGCTGTCTGTCTGTCTAGAGCTGTCTGACCGCCTTATCCTGTGTGTGCGTGTTGGTGTGGTGTGCGTACCTTCAGTCGCTGGCTGGCGTTTTGTGTGTGCGTGTGTGCGCGGGGGGGATGCTGAAGGGGACCACACCACCCGTCAGGTGTAGGGTTGACAGATGAATGAACTGACTCAGTTGACTGACATGGCACACTCGGTCTCAGTTGATTCGATTCAGGTGACTCCTCCGTCTCTCAAACAAGCCACACGACTCAATGAATGTCTCAATGAAGGCGTCGCATCCCTCACACCCACACCCACACCCCCACACAGCATATATCTACACCCGTGCCACGCCTCCCCCCCTGACCACCCCACCCACCCACCACCCCACCCTCACTCATTGCCCCCGGAACACTACGAAAGGTCCGCACCTGACGCCCTCCAGCTCTTCATTTCCACCACCACCGCTGCCCTCACCACACAGCAGCACATCCACCACACGGCCCCTCTCCATCTCACGCTGGGCGGGCAACCGAACCAGTCGCTCGAACCGCACGAAGGACGGGGTGCGTCTGGGGCTGGCAGATGAGTGGGACAAAGATGGCGGGGGGGCGAAGCGGAAGTCGTTCTCGATGGCGTCTGGCCAGAGGTCGTGCCGGATGGTCGTCGCGTCCTCGCCACGCCTGTCAGTCAGGACACGCACAGGGAGAGAGAGAGTAGTTGCAGTTGCTGGCCTGCCTATTCGCTCCTCAAACCAGATGAATTCGGCGACGAATTGCATGAGGAAGATGAGGTCGTCGATCACTTGGGGTTCCTTCTTAGTTCCGCCCCGCGCTCCCCGCCGCACCTCTGGTGTGCCGGGCCCCTTTGCAGGTCTCAGCAGCTGCCCCCTGACGTCCTCCAGTAGCCTCTGGAACACCTCAAACCGCCGCACAGCGTCGTCACCAACTGCATCATGGCGCGAAGGCTGGCAGACGGTCTTATCGCCCTCGCCCTCGCCCTCTCCCTGCCATCTCCTCGCAGTCCCTTCCTCCCCTTCACCTTTGTCAGCCGGTGTGTGGTTCGGGTCTTCGTCTTGTTGATGGTCGAGTGCGATAAGGTGGTGGTCGACGATTGATGGGACGATGACGAGCGGTTCGTTCTCGTTCTCCCGCTCCTGGTCGGCCTGGTCGTCCTCCGGGAGCTCGAAGGCATCCCATGGGTCGCTCCACGTGCGCTGCTCATCCATGTGGAGCTGGTGTGGGTGTGGGTGTGGGTGAGGGGGGAGGTGCGTCGAGCGCTCCTGCTGCTGCTGCTGCTGTTGCTGCTGTTGCCTCAGTACGGGCTCATATGACTCGTAGAGCCCTTGTGTCTTGGCCACCCAATACAGACACTCCAGCTCGCTGTCGAGGAAGAAGTCGATGAACGCCCGGCAGGTGGCGTGGTCCTTGAGCAAATGACGCACCGCCGCACCCACCATATGGCCGTGGCCATGCACTTGTTGCTCCTTGCTCGCGCGCCTCTCCACTAATTGAGGCCGGCCATAATCGAGCCGCCGTGATGATGAGGGTGGTGGTGCTCTTGCCGACTCGTGGATGACCTCCGCCTGGTGGGGTGGCTCGCTGGAAGTCCTCTCTAGAGAGGCGGATTGGCCGTCTGCTCTGAGAAGGGGGAAAGACCCTGGGTGTGGGTGTGGGTGTGGAGAGGGTAAGGATGCGGTCGGTGCCAAGGAGAGGGAGAGGTGTGAGGGGGGAAGGAAGCAGAAGTAGTCACGTACCCTCACCAACAGGCCCTTCGCCACCAACCTGATATACCAGTCAGTGGAAGGTCAATCGAGCGCCATTGTGTGTATCTTCCTGTGTGTGTGTGTGTGTGTGTGTGACGAGCGAACTAACCATGCCATGATGTCGTCGAACAGCTTGGCCAGTGTGCGGTTGTCGGGGCTGACCCGGACAGCCCGACCCATGAGGGAGATGAACCGATAGCGCACCTCACGCACCGTCGCTTGCTGCCACACACTCACAGCCATACACGGAAGGACTGACATGTGTGTGTGTGTGTGGGGGGGGGGGGGGGGGGGG